TATATAGAGAAATGTAAAACTGGTATCATATAAGACTTTGGGCAAACCCACGATAAGACTACTGGGTGTAGAAGGCTAAGAAACTGAAGAGACAAAAACTCACTTGGAAATCCTGAGTAAAGAGATAGCACAAATTTTCGATAGTGCCATTGAACTGATAGAAGCTCATGAAACACCTTCATAGGAACTATCAAATAAACCAAATGGCAAAGCTGTGTAGAGGAGCATATAACCAACCAGGCCACCAAAATCGCTGAAGGAAAAGAATACATAAGTATACCATACCAGGCCATCTGGATTGGAAGTCTGGGGAAATCTATTGTTGATTCTGAGTTGCAGCTAGTAGAGAATGATGAAAAAGAAGTTAGAAAAATGGGTACTAGGGTTTGAGTGAACTTTATAAGAGTAATAGCAGTTTAAGGGGTAACTTTGACTGCAAGTGTTGGCCTCAGCTATAGCATTAAACCAGGTTAGTGATAAAAGGGAATACAGCTTGCTTTGGTAGGTTTACCTTGAGGATAACTGTCTTATGGTTAAAAGCAAATAGATCTGAGTCTGTGATCTGATGAAATTAATACTAGAGTTAGATCAGAGGGTTTAAATAGAACATCTAAGCAGGGGTGTTAGATATGGCAACTGGTAAGAAACCCTTAGGCAGACTCCTTAAATAAGTAATATTGAAAAGTTACATGTGTACCCAGTTGTATACTCGTCTAATAGTTCAATATGAATATGTCTGTATAAAACATGTACTCAACATAAGTATTAATAAAAAGCTAATACCAAAGAGGTCACCTTAATACCAAAAAAAACAAAACAAATATGGAATAAGAAGACATTATAAAATATTTAAATGATACTAATGAAAGTATTAAAATAAAAGATAAAGGTTTTGTACTATTTTTAGCAAAAATTGTATTTATGATTTTTAGAAAAGCATTACAAGATGCTTTCAACTTTGGAAATCGAGATGATGTGGTTAATAATACAACTATTCATAGAGACTAAAGACAATTTGAACAAAGATTGGATTTTGTTATAGAGTTTATAAGAAATTAGAATGCTGGAACAACATAAATTCATTTTCATAAAGGTTCTAAAGAGGATTTTCAAATTTTTGTTTTTGAAATTGGATTAAAAAGAAAAGATCTTTCTGATAAACAGATGATCAAAAAATATAAAATGTTAGGATTTAAAGATAGTGAACTTATTATAAAGATAAGAAATTTATATGAAGAGAAAATTTTTCTTAATATAAGAAAAACTATCTTTAGAATTACCCAAATGTGAAAAAATTATATAAATATAAAAAAGAACTTGAGAATCTTGATGAAAATACTGTTGAATAAAATAATTTAAATTATGATTCTCAAATAAGTAAATGTGATTCAGATAATTCTCAAAATAAAAAAAAGAAAAAATTAAAAAATAAAATTAATAAAAAAAGAAAAACTAAACTCTAATTAGAAAAATCTATTTTTAAAAAAATTAGATTTTAGATATTTATTATTTTTAAAGTTAATAAATAAAAATATTAAAATTTTTCTATTTTAAATAAAAAGTAATAAAATATCAATATTACTAAAATTGTTTTTTATAAAGAATTTTATTAAGACAATTACCTTTAAATTATTAATAAAAAATGTTTATCTAACAAAAAAAGATATAGTTTAATAAAATCAGTTTACTTATTTAATTAATAAAATTTTGAAGAATGAGTTGATTTCAATCGTCACAAATTTTTATAAAAGAATCTGCAAATATATATAGACAAAGTTTCATCAAAAATCAAACTTATTCTATGAATATTAATCTATTTAATTTGAAATTTGATATGTGAATTCTTGAAAGTCATCTGCATTAAGTTTATTATCATCATACAGTATATTTAATTTGAGTGTAGTCTTCAAATTTAATTAAATCATTTTTTGTAAAAATCAAAAAAAAAATTCATCACTACTAAAATCATGTTTTCTGAAAAATTTTATTAAGATAATCATCTTAGGGACATTAATAAAAAATGTTCGTCTATTAAAAAAACAAATAGTCTCTTATTATCATTTTTGTTATTTTATTAGTAAAATTTTTGAGAATGAACCAATTTCGATTATCATGAATTTTTGTAAAAGGATCTGTAAAAGCACTATATTTAATTAATGATGATTTTTAGACAGTTACATTTTTTTTTTAGAATACATTTAGGATCATTTATTATTAAAATTTAGGTTACATGTTGATCATTTAGGTTAAATGTAACCGAACAAAAATCACCAGTCTAATTAGTGGTGATTTTTGTTCGGGTACATTTTTTTTTAGGATACATTTAGGATACATTTACTATTAAAATTTAGGTTACATGTCGATCATTTAGGTTAAATGTAACCGAACAAAAATCACTAGTATATAGTAGAATTAGATAAAAATTTAAATTTTGAAATTTTTATGTCGATCATTTTTTATATGAGTAAGGTTTAATTAGTAGCCCTATACTGTAACATTGAACAGTATATGGCTATGATAGGTAATATAAAAAAATTATTTAATTTATACATAAAATTTGGTATATCAACTTATTTGACTTATAACAACAACGTTCTATGACTGTTAGTACGTTAAATCCGATTGAGACAAATTTAATAACGAAACAAAATCAGTAAACATGTTATTAAAGATTAAAACAAGCTATTTTAGTACAATTTCATATCTTAAACATGTGTTACGTACCTTCATATTTGGATCACTTTTGCGTTCTTTATACAATTTTGTTCATAGAAACCAAAAAAATAACTTGGAAGAAAATATGTATTTTTGAATATAAAAGAAAAATGACATAATTTGATCATGTGTGAAAATATGCACCAATCATAAATATTTATATCAAATTATGAAAAAGTCAGCCCATAACGAACGCTAACAGCTTCTCTGAAATGGAAACTGTAAATTTGATGCCTGAAAATTCCATATATGATGAACCAACTAAAACTTCTTACACAATTGTACGGTTGAAGCGTAAACGCAATGCAGAACCTCTGGACGCGCTTGGTACTGTCTCATATTTGTACCAAATGTTGAATTTTCGCTAATCGTTAAAATTTCTGCAGTTGTCCAGCAACAACTCGTAAAGAAACCAAAGCGGCAGGGAAGTCTTAAAAATGAAGTGAAATCGATCGAGGAACAAAAAACGGACGGTAATGCGCAAAGTTTTTTATATTTCCTTTTTTTTTTTTTTTTTTACAAGCATTTTACAAAAATTAAGTTGCTATTTTTTGAATAGAAGCTTCGTCGCTACCTTTCGTTTTTCGATTTGCGGAGACAGTCGATGAGATTAGTTTCAATGATTCAACAAAGTCACAGCAATTGAAGGTATGCTATCATACTGAGCGTAGATGCACTCTAAAATCAATTATAACGCTTTTTATTTATTTGATAGGATCGTATTACAAAATTAATCAATCGCAAAGAAAAGGTGCGACTGAAAGAGCGAAGCAAAAAACAGACCCGTGATCAGCAAATTACTTGGTTCAAAGAGAATACGAGAAGAGAAAGATATAAAGTGATTGATAGAAATAGGCAAAGTGGTAGCTTTCCCCATTTCTCAAGGTTAGAAGATCAATGTTCGTCTTGCTAATTCCTTTGTTATTAGCTATATCATGTTTGTTAAATTTATTGAAATATTTAGTGACAGCATTGAAGATGAAGAAAATGCAGCAGATGAAATGTTCAAGATGTATGACGCTGTCAAAGAAGAAATACCAATTGCGCCAAAGTTGGTTGCTCTTTTTTTGATTGGTATTTTATATTTGCATGGAAAATGAGAAGAATCAAATAATTTTATGGAAATTCATGGCTCTCAGATTCATCGAAGAAGACGGTCTGGATTCCGATATTATGTGTAACTTCATTCCTATGGTTCGAGAATATCTAACTCGTAAATATATATATATTCACCTTATTGTTGATTAATTCCTGTTGATTAATGCTATTCATCAAACATTTATGCATGTATATTTTCTATTCGATAATTCCTAGTCCAAGAGAATATAGATAAGGAAAATATTGCCGAATCCGATGATGATTATGTATATGATGTGTACTATCATGATGATTCAATGGCATTTTATGAGAAGCCTGAATATCAGAATTATGCTTCACTGTACAATAATTTCTACTTTTTTTAAAGCCATTTGTTTATAATGATATTCATAATGATCATAATTTTAAATTTTTGACAGAACTTGGTTCAATGACGATGATAATGGCATTTTTGTGAAAGGAACAACAGAAAAAGACGAATATGAATATTCTGATGAAGAAGATTCAAATGGTTAGTTAGTTATTATGTCTATATACACATTTATGATTCCTGTTTTAGGCATTTATGCATTTAAATTATCTTTTATTTTGTAGCTGAAGATTATTATACACATGACTATCCTGATGAAGAGGAGGTTTGGAGTGAACAAGGTACACATAATTTAAATGTAAATTGACGTTTAATGTTATCGATTCTCTAATACTGCAAGTTCTTTTTTTAAAGAATATTCTTCTGAAGAATATTAGTATCAATTTGAGAACATTATCATGGGATCTAAGATTCACCATAAAAAATATATTACTTAGGATTTTGTATTTTTGTTCGAAATAAAAAAATTGTATTCTTGAAATTATGATGTTTACTGACATTAATATATCAATACTAGAAACATATTGAATCTTGACATGCTTTTTGGTTTATTGGATAACATATACTGTCAGTGTTTATTAGTTTAATTTATTTTGTTTATCTTAAATTACTGTGTTTTATCAGTTTATTTACTATACCTTTTTATAAGTCACAGTGATTTTCATAATTTCAAATTATTTGTTTTTTAAAAATTTAGTCTTAAATAATTTTTAATATATGTTAGCAAAACGTTTAATAAACTGGTTTTTTAATTTTTATGTTATTTTTAGAATTTAAAATTTTTAGTAAAATTATTAAGAAATAATAAACCTTGCTTTTTATTAATCTTTATTGCAAATAATTATTATACTTTAATATCTGTTTATTATTTAAGTGAGATGTATGTTAGTTAGATTAAAAATAGTAAGGTTCTTGGGTTTGTAATCTTGAAACATAGTTTTTGAGCCTGGTTTATCAAAGCCAGGTTTTAATTTTAAAGTATACAGAATATTTTTAATTTGAAAAATTATAGGCATTACTGGTTAAAGATGCTTAATTTGTACATCTCTGATCAAAACAATGTTAAGTAACTAATTTTAATTAAGATTTAGGTTAGAGCCTAAATGAAAGATGTCGTAAGAATGAATGTTATAATCAAAATTGTCTTTTTGATATTTTTACTTAGTGTTTCAACATAGATGTTTTTTGTATTTTTTGTATTTTTTTTATATTTTTTGTTGTTTTGCTTCATTGGGAGAATTGTACTTTGTGCAACTGTTGTGTTATACGAAAACGTGGATCATATAATATAGTTGCATTTTAATTGGTTATTAGGTCAGAGATGCATAAATTAAACATCTTTGATCAGAAATGCATAAATTAGACATCTTTGATCTGAATATTTAAAAGCATTTTTATAATTTATTTTGTTTAATACTACTTGTAATATCTTGAATCTTATTCAAAAACTTCATTTTGAAAATTAAATCTTTTTTTTTGATTTTAAGATGTGACCTTGCTTATATTTTTATTAGTAATTTTTGTTGTATATATAAATATACTACATATTAAGACATACTAATATTGCATAATATAAAATAAGTAGCTGTGCAATGTTGTTATACAAAACCAGAAATAGGAAAAATCTATGCAGGCATTAGAGATGAACATGTATAGAATTTTTAAAATGATCTCAAAATAAGATTATCTGGCTTGCATTATCATAATATCTAGTTAGTATTAATATAATATCTGACTTGTATTAACATATTTAGCTAATTCCTAATTTAAATTTATTTGCATACCAATTCATGCATATGTTTATTTATATATATAATAAGAATTTATCTTCTTTGCCATTGGTATCTTTTACTTATATTACAAAAATATTCTTTATAAATAAGTTACTCTTTTAAAAATAAATAACATGCAAAGTAATATTAATTTTTGAAATCATCTTACAAAAATTGGATCAGATAAAACCTATAATCAAGAATGTACTTAATGTAATTACTGCTATTAAACCTTGCAAAAAATATATAGAAATTTATTATTTTGATTAGTCAATGGCAATAATCAAAAATTTAGACAAAATTACTTAAATTTTTAATAAAAAATTATAGCTGCCCATTAAGTAAAATTAATAAATCCTACATAGGATTTTTGAAGAAACTACAATTTGTCTATCTCTAGGTACTATATATTCTGTAAAATTACATGTATTATAAATTTTATAAAATGTAATTTTCAAGCCTAAGTGAAATATGTTTTTGTGTTAATTTTACTATTACACAGATTTAAATCTTAAATAATTAAAAAATTAAACTTTGGCAAAATTATGTATAATACAGACCAAAATTTTGTTAATTACAATTGTTGGCTAATAAAAATTGAGGTTCAACTATACAGTATCTAGATTTAATGAATCTTATACAGAATTTTTTGAAAAACTATGATTTGCTTATTTCTAACAGGCATTATTGTTAAAGTTACCTGTTTTCCAGAATAATTTAATAAATCATATGATCTGATTTTTGATCAACATCTAGCAGTTATACAAACCTGTATTGAATACTAACAAATCTAATAAATTAAATCAATATATACCTCTACTCTTATTTTTTTTAGTCTATATATTATTATCTAGTAATCTTTCTATTTCTTTTTTTTATTATATTATTAATCAACATAGAATTAGTATTAATAAGTGAATAATAAATTAGTTATATAGATCTATAATAATAAATATGTATAAATAATTCTAATATTGTATTATTAAATTAGTATGCTTCTACTTGAAAAATACTTAATAAAGAGTTATCATATTTTCATATATAAGCAACTCAAAGATTTTATTAATAAGCTATTATACATCTATTTGTATCTTTATATATATTTAGTCATTGTCTCTTTCATAATTGCAAATCACTTTAAATCCTCTTAAACATCAATACTAGTTATTGACATAAATACTTACTAGCATAAGATAGTTATAAAACATTTAATTATTATTATCTTCAATTACTGTCATCTTATATTAACTTATCTTTTAGATTGTAGTAGAATACAGACAAATTTGCCTGCATTTTTGTACTTTTTTAGCTCTGATCTACTTTTTTAAAAAACTAAAATATTTAAATAAA